TATTCATTTTAGCATCTCAGTTGTTGTTAATCAGTCTGTACACTTTTTGTCTCAGCTCGGGTGTTGGACGCACTGGCGCCTTCTGTCTGCTGTATGCAGCTGTTCAGGAGCTGGAGGCAGGAAATGGGATCCCAGACCTTCCACTGCTGGTGAAGAAGATGAGACAACAGAGGAAGAACATGCTACAGGAGAAGGTAAGAAAGAGATGGGACTCTGATGTTGTGTTTAGGATTGATCTTTGTTGTCGCAGGTTTAAAGTTGCAATACGCAAAAATGTACATATAGACAACAGAAAAAGCTGATTGTACATTTCAAGGAGTTTAAAACCTAAATTTTAATTAAGCATTATGAAATAAATGAAGAGTTGCACAGAACACTTTGCAAAGTGCTGCTCAAAAATCCTAAATGTAGAAATATGTGACTATGCTGACAAAGTACATCATGAATCAGGCACTGCTGATGAATAGCTCTTCATATAGTACACACTTTATATCATCTTTCGGTCTGCCTCCAGCTCCACCTGAAGTTTTGCTATGAGGCTGTTTTGAAGCACGCCGAGCAGGTTCTTCAGCGCCACGGCATCACGACCGCCACCTGCAGCAAGAACACCAACTCTGCAGCCACAAAGGTTTGTCATTCTTCTTATACTGTCCTTTCAAATAAGTTCAACTGGTTAGTGGCTCACAAAGCACCATAAAGGGAAAGATATGTTGCTGCTGATTAATAATCCTTTGAAAAACCATAGCCACGCAGCTTGTAGGTGACAGAATGTCACATACATATATTTACTGGAGCCAATTTTGTTCAGTGTTGTGAGCTATGCAGTCAAAACTTTACTCACCTCTATTGTAGATTTCTAGACATGGACTTCTGAAATGGTTCTTAAAACAAATCCCTAGCATCTCACATCTAATTGCACAACTTTAATCTGACTGTAACCCTCTAATTGTTTACAGTTTTGCACTCCTGATTGTTCCCAATGAATTGTGAGTTCTGGTTAGTTGAGGTACTGAAGGTATTTGTTTTTTTTTTCTCTGCATCACTTCTTTCATTTGTATTTCTTAAACACCTCTCTCTGTTTTTCTGAAGCCTTACCCGAGACAGGAATCTCAGCAGGATATTGTCCTCGGCGGTGACATGCCCATCAGCTCCATTCAAGCCACCATCGCTAAACTAAGCATTCGGCCTCCAAGTACCACAGATGCAGGCATGGAGGCTGAGGAGCAGGTCGGCCCTCTCTTACCTGCTCTTGACTCACTGGGGGACATCCAGCAGCTCCAGGATCTCTGTCCTGCCACAGATCCACAGCCCCCATCCTCCTTAAGCCCGCCTCTCACTTCGCCCACTGCCTCTCCTCCACCACCCAACGGGCTTGATGCCATTTCCCCTTCTTCTCTGCCAGCACCCAACCATCAGCCAGTCCCAGAGGCTCCGCCCAGTGTTCCTCCTGCTTCCTCTGCACCGGCTCCTTCATCTCTGGAACTCCTGGCCTCGCTGACGCCTGAAGCCTTCTCCATGGACGGGGTGGGTCGAGGGAAACAGCGGGTGACTAAACAAAGCTTTCTGCAGCCGGCAGAAGGCCAGGGTCTCCACGGAACTCGAGGGGACGAAGGAGACGACCCGCTCAGTAGCCTGGATCCCCTCTGGAGCCTCAGCAAGCGTTGAGATGAAACTATAGATTTCTGCTTTTCACCCACTCTACCACCAGGTGTCAGTGATGGCCTATAGCGCTTTCTAATCCTGCTTTAAAAAGAAGGAAAACAAATTGGCTTGGAGATATTTTAGTGGTTGATTACCAAGATGTGCCTAGTGGCAGATTGAAATGTGTACTTTGCACTGCTTTAGGGGTGTGAGGCTTGAAACTAAAAACACTTGCTTCTCCTTCAATCACTGATGGCTTCTGGGACCAGAACACTATGCACTCGTTGGTATTATCTTCATTCTTTGCTGCTTTTCTTTTTACGTGTGTGGTGGATGGAAGCATGTCTGCTCTTCCAGCACCAAACCTGCGCTCATCTTATAAAAAAAAAAAAAAAATCCCAGCATGCACTCCACTTCACAGGCGCCTCACTGTTGGTCATCAAAGCATCGCCAAGGGTGTGACATCGCTTGGCCGCTCTGTGATTATTTAATGGCTGGAATAAAAGATGAAGTTGCAGGCATGTGGAGGCACTCCCAACTCAATCAGTGCGTACAGTTCAGTTTTTATGTTAACAGAGGAGCATACAAATCAGCACGTCTTAACAAGTTGATTATTTTTCTTTGTAACACTGTAAATATCTTAAACCTAGAATATTACAAAAATTGTCCTTCTGGAATTAAAAAAAAGATACTAATCATTCATTATTGTAAAATCTGAAATAAATCCAGTAGACAGTCAACCTTTGTGGTATCAAAGCCTCTTTATTTGAAAATTAGTACAAAGTTTTGCGCTGTTACAAAATAGTAAACAAGTTACTACAGCCTGCGTAGATTGTAGCCAGCCAATGAGGGGAGAAGGCTGGAGTGGATGGGGGGGTGGAGGAAAACACCTGGGGATTACATTTGTTTATGTGCTGCGATGCTTTTTACAGCAATCTAAACAAAAAAAATATTAAGTAAGAAATGTTACACTGATTTGTATTTGCAGCTGGAGGAGGATCAAACAAGACCCACAACATCTCTGCCATTCATTGTGAGGATGCAGCTAAAGATTTATTTTAACCTAAATGATTAAAAAGGTCGCTGCTGCATCCACAAATTCTTGATATGGTGCCGTGACGGCTGAAACGAGACGGAAAGGTATGAAGCGATCTAAAATTAAAGGCATAGTTCATCTTTATAAACAGAAACATTCAGAAAAAGCAGTGACTCAAATCAATCACCACACCAACCCACCTTCCTATCCTTCAGCTTTAAAAGAATAGTTTGACATTTTAGAAAATGTGTGTACGTGCTTACTGGCAGAGGAAACTGATGCTGCCACAAAGTTTTCGTTTGAGTAACACGGCACAAGTTCTCATCTTTCTTATATATAATTTCTCGACCTTTTGACTTTGATATTTAGTAAACACTGTTAAAGGAAACTGTTTATGTGCAGATAAACTAAGGCATGAGAGAATCAGGGTCACATTTCTGAGGAACTGTGCGTGCAACACTACACTTGGCGATTTCTCACCGTTTTAGAAATGTAAGATTTCTGTTTTACAACACTAAAATATCCTCAGCATAGAGCCCCTGTGATCACAGAATAGCACAATGATAAAACGGCTGTTTTAGCTCTGACAATTTCTTTGAATATAGAGTGTAATTCCTTGACATCTCAGTGCTGCAGTTTTCAGACCAACTTCTCAGCAAGCAGAGTTAACTGGAGTTGCTAACCCAGTCACTGTGTACATTCGGCAGTATTTAACTCTGCAAGAAAGCAAATACAGGTTCCCAAAATATCAAACTTGAGCTTTAATTCACATTTCTAGAAAACACGTGAAACTGAAATCTAAAAAAACAAAACAAAACATTCCCCCATTTCTAAAGCTTTCAACTAAACAAAAACCACAAAGCTAATAAATCAACAGCCACAGCAGCAAGATCACATTACTGGCCTCTGTGATGGAGGTGCCATTCGTCTCAGAAGTTGAAATGTGAATACTGATGCTACAGTTGGGGAAATAAAAATAAAAATTAAAAAAAAAAAAAAAAAAAATCATACGATAATCATCAGCTTGTTTCTGGAAAAGAAACTCTGGTCGCTGCATCCGAGAGGAACAAGCACTGCAGTCTATATGTCACGTGCGTGTTTAACAGCGCTGCAGGTGTGAACTTTAAGTCCAGTTACATCCGACTCTTCTGCATACAAGCTGAAATTGCAAAAACAAAGTGCCTAAAAATGTGTGTGAGCTTGTACATCAGAGGGTTAGAGATGAAAGGAGTTAGTGTTGTGACCGCAGGGATCAGGTGCAGGTCTTTTAACGGATTTTCTGAGACGACATTCAGGACATACAGATAGAAACAACAGATGACAACTGGGAGAAAATACATTCTGGACATTGTGGATGTTGTTGGCATCAGAGAAAAATCTTTAACCTGCAGGATTGCATTCTTTCTACCCAGAGTAAAAAAGTGAAGTTCAGGCACAGACTCAAAAACGAGGGGGTTAAATGTTGAAAAATGCATTGCTTTCATAAATACTTGGCTTGTTGAGTTTAAGAATTTAACAGTTTCAGTATTGACAGGATTTTCACCTTGTGTGCAGAATAAGTACAAAAGGCTCTTTACTCGATGTTCAGACAGAAGCTTCATATTATACACGCTACAAAACAATGATTGACATGCATTGCTTTTGTCTGGTTTCTTAAGGCGTCTAGCAAGTGTTTGAAAACATTCATACCTGACAGAGCAACCGTATGACTAATAGTGGAAAAACTGACTGAAAATACTATTGACATTTCCTGTTTAGTCCAATTAAAAAGACTTAATTAAAAAATGTGTGATATAATACTGCGTGTGTTTCAGGAAAAGATTATCTGAACAGTGTCACATGTGTCAGGTCCAAATTTTGAAAAGGTTATATCTCAAACCCATTCCTGATGTGAAAAATCCAACATCAATACTGCAAACTGTTTTAAAATGTACTAGTATTATGCAAAATTAGGGACAGGATGCATTCACTGTTACCTTCCTTCAGATTTTTACCAACTGGTCGCTGAAAAAAAAGAAAAAAAAAAAGAAAGAAAAGAAGAACAGGTTTCAGGACAAACTCTGCTTAAGCGTGCATCAACAACATACCAAAAACTAAAAATATACACACAGTATATCTAACGTGATCCAAGTAGTCGACAAGGTTGTGTCACCCTTTGTGGCTTGAATTAAAGATTGTGGATTAAAAATGATATCAGGTGACCAAGTTATGGCTAAATGGTGATTAAAAAAAAACAAAAAAAACTCTAAAGCACAGAATGCATTTATATTAAAAAAACAAAAAAAAAAAAACAAAAAAAAAAAAAAAAACAAAACAAAAAAAAAAGCAACATCAGTCATCCAAAATTCAAGCTATTTGAAAAATGGAGGTAGCCTGATGAAGGTGTAACACACTGGGGAAAAGCAGCCCCTCATACAGCATCAGTAACCCCAGAGTCAGAGGCCGAGGATGGGGTAAAGGAGGAACCCTTTCTGCCTCCCTGCGGCCTCCAAATCTACAAACACACGTGTTTCCACCTCAGTGTTACAAACAACCAAAAGCCCAGTGCTGCCAAACAAATAAACACCTTCTTACATTTAAGTCACCTTTTCCACATTATTATGGTCTTATTTAAAAGTTGTGATTAGTCATTCATATACAAACTGTTACTCAAAAAAGGAAAAAAAAAAAAGTATCGCTAATAAATAATAAATGTAGACATAAAAACAGCCCCCTCTGGAGGTTTAGTTTATACAGTAATCATTGGTTCTCCCTCACACAAACGCACACATAACCAATCAACTTTTGTTCTCAGCAGTTTTACTATAAAAAGGGTCTAAACTCATTCAATCAATCTCTCTCTCTCTCACACACACACGCTCAATTCATCCCCGCAGGCGATGGACCTGTCGAGCTCTCTGTGGCTGCACTTCGCTGTTGAGCGCACGGCACAGCAGGAATATTAAAAAGAAAGAAAACAAAAAAAAGAGGAGCTCTATGGTCCTCCTCTCTGGGTGGGTGGGGTCACAAGCCTCCCCCCGCCCTGTGTGAGCAGCATAGAGGGCAGATCTGCAAAAACAAATGTGCGTGCACAAAAAGCACAAACTCAGAACTGGCGAGCTCCCTTCAAGTGAGAAAAATCCAACCTTAACCAAACTCGTGACCTTCCGTAACGTCAGCAAGATGGCTCTGATAAAACGCAGTAGGTTCAACGGCCAGTTTTTCCTCATGATATTCAGACTTTAAAACACCTCCCTGTTAAAACAGATAGTCTTGTATCTAATGATCGCACATCATCCAAACGCCAGAAGCAACGAAACAAAGCAAAAACTGGATCCTTTGACTGTTCCCACTGATAGCTGCCAGCCCTTCTCAGTCCAGTTTCTCCAACACTGAGGGAACGTAGACCAAGCTGAGCTCGCTGCCAAAGTCGCAAACGATGGCGGCGTTGTCCAGCACCAGCAGCTGCCGGACACCCTGACCGTCGCTACTCTGACCCAGGTACACCGTCTGCAGCAGGTCGCCGAAATTCAGGTCCCAGAAGGAGACGCAGCCCTGCCCCCCCGTCACCAGCAGAGACTCTGAGATCACACCCAGACTGGCCCCGCAACCCACCTCCTGGTGGGAAGAAAAGAGAAGCTGATAACAGACTGCTGTGTAACGCATTTTAAGGGCTCCAACTACTGTTTGTATTCTTGAGAAATTAAGCTTATCATGTAAAGGATTAGAAATCAGGACATTTTTGGAAAGCTTTTTGTGATGACTAAGGAGAGTTTCTTTAGTCTCTGTCAGATATAGAGACACAGCCGAGTACTATCACACTGAATATGGCCAGTTGGGTATGCAAACAGGAGCCAGTTAAAGGGAGCTAAACAGTTGGAATTTTGGAGTTACAGGGAATTACACTGTTGAAAAAATAATAATTGCAAAACACCTGTCTGATGCCAGGTTAGGCTTTAGAGAGTTAAAGAAATAAAGACGTGAAGGAGACTGAGCACAGTACCTGCTGTATTGAGTACAGCTTGATTCCAGTGCTGCGGTCCCAGATACAGATGAGGTCATCCAGTCCTGAGCTGATGACACAAGAGGTTGTACACACCAGCGAGGTGACATCACCACAGTGACCGTAAACATGGCTGACTCGGCTCCCTGTCAGGACATCCCACAAGCAGATGGCGCCGTCCTGCCCACCGCTTGCTAGAACCATCGTCTGAGAGGAAAAAGTTTGTAATTGAGAGTCTAATTTACTGTTTCATGAAACAACTTCGTGGTTTTACTTTGGTAATTCCTCTATTTTGACCCACGGTTTTTAGAGAAAATATTCACCAATGCCTCCGTTATCACAATATGAAATGTTACGAGACGCGGGGATATTGCTGACCTGGTCTAAGTAGATGGCTGTAATCCCTCCAGAGTGACCTTGCAGGGTAAAGAGGCAGCAAGAGTCCTCCAGTCGATAAACCTAAACAGCACACGCAGATAAGGATGATCTATTAAAAGCACTATCACAAAGACTGCTTTTGGAGTTTGCTCATATTTTTTATTTTTTACTGCCAGTAAGATCCATTCTATTGAGTTTAATGAGAAATCAAAACAATATTTGTTGTACTTGAAATAAAAAAGGACAGAGTGCAGGTCTGTTACCCGGACTGTGTGGTCTTGGCTGCCAGTGACGACTCTGCCGGCAGCTGCACGAAGCACCGTGATCGGCTTTTGGTGAGCACACTGTACGGAGCGTGTGAGCTGGCAGCTGATCACATCCTCACTGCTGTAACAGGGAGACTGAGGCATGCTGCTTCGCCCAGGGGGACCTGGAGGGAAAAATTATTTACGTGAGGAAGAGGGGGAAAAACAAAAAACAAAAAAGAAAACAAAAGGAAACAAAAAACAAAAAAGGAAAAAACCCCCCCCCACAAAACTAGAAAAACCCTCCACTTAGGTTTACCTCATCTCATTTTCTTTTTAAATTAAAAAACAAACAAAAAAAACAAAAAAACAAAACAAAAAAAAAAAAACTCATACTGTACATTTTTCACCAATTAAAAATCTAACTCATACAACACTGATGCAGAAACATTTCAAGCCTCACCTCTGTACTGCAGCAGACCCAGAGGTTTGTTCATCTCAACAGTGAAGAAATCCAAGGACCCATTCAGCCTAGCTGCCACAATTCTGGGAAGGAAGAGACACTCCGAATAAAGAACAGCCGCGCATAGTAGCCACAAGTAGGATGACACACTTTTGAATCTCTGTCAGTGTGCCCAAGGGTAGCTGTGGCTACAATGTAGCTGCCATCACCAGTGTGTGAATGTGTGTGTGAATGGGTGGATGACTGAATGTAGTGTAAAGTGCTTTGGGGTCCATAGGGACTAAGTAAAGCGCTATACAAATACAGGCCATTTACAATTTACAGCATACATCTGATGTGTTACAATCTAATGTTATAGAAGCAAGTAACATCTTTTAAGAGGTTGGAAAATCACATAAAATAAAATAAATTAGTGTGCCATTAAAATGACCGAAAAATATTTTTTGCCGATTTAGAGCACGTATGTGTTTAACCTGTTGTTGAGAAAGGCCAGAGCTGTGATCCCAGAAACACCGTCTTCATTGCTGCAGCGTAGCCACCCTTCCACTGCATCCCACAGCTGTAACCAGATGCAATTGTACAGTGATTCTAAACACCAGCGGATCAAGAGTATGACTTTTTTTCAGAGTGACATGTGAAATTTTTACAAACCTCCAGTTTGCCGCTGCTCCTCCCGGCAGCTATCAGATTTCCTCTGAGCTCCATGGCCCAGACAGAACTTTCCCAGTCTCCTGCCGCTTGCGCCACAGCCATCGGGGATCTTTCTTGGATTACAGGTGTAGCTGCTTCCCCTAAGCTCGGACTCCTCTGGAGTTGAGCGCCTGATGGGGGCGAGGAGGAGGCTGAGGACGGAGAGGCGTAGGTAGATGGTGATGGGGGCTCGTGCTCCATGTAGGCACGCTCCACCAGTCCTCCAAAATCAAAGCCTGCTCTGGGTGCGGTGGACAGGTGGGAAGGGGGCTGGGAGGTGAAGTTGGTGTCAATGAGCGGGGTGAGATCGGGCTGGTCAATGAAAAGAGTGGGACGACTGGGCGTGGTGCGGCGTCTTACTGGGTAGAGCTCGTCCTCTGTCAGCCCGTCTCCATTAAACGAGATGTCTCGTTCAGGACTCAAACACTCTGATTCTTGAGCCCCGGTCATGCTGTCCCAGCCATTCCGGTGGTCCCAGCAGCCACTGCTGCTGCTCCGCCTCAGCCTGAGAAGGAGGAAAAAACAAACAAAACAAAAACAAAAAAAAAAAAACAACATTAGCATGACTTGAAGAGATAAACTGACTTTACGTTTGCAGATTTACTGGCAAACATTAACACACAAAAGGTCTGATAGGCAAAAATAAATTGATAATCTAAAAACCACCCATGAATACCAGATTGTCCCTGCTCACTGCATATTCCAGATCATGACTACTACTTTCAGTTGTTTCCTTTAGTGGTCAGCAGATGATCACCAGCCTCCATCTCACCCTATCCCAGCATCCTCTGTCATAGCAACCCTCTGAGTGTCCTTTCTCACTACATCCATGAACCTCTGTAGACTTCCTCTTCTGCCTGACATCTCCAACATATTCACTTTAATACAATCAATTTTCAGCCTCAAATTTCCTAAACTGACAGATTGTTTTTAAACTAAATTTTACTTAATGGAAAAAAAACCAAACAAAAACAAACAATTCCTAACAATGTAAAAGCAAATCTGGAAACATCTCACAGATCAATATGACATTGAAATGTTTTTAAAACAAGATATTAAGAGTGTCTCACCCATGATTTGGAATGACAGTCAAGCAGTCCCCAGTCTGTGCGTCCCAAACCCGGATCTGTCCAGCCAGGCAGCAGCTAGCTAACAGCATCCCATCGCTAGCCAAACACTCGATATCCTACAGGACGGAAACATGGAGCAGGAAGCCGGTTTAAATAAGACTAAAGCGATCAGCCAAAAAAAGAAATTAATACACATTTATTAAATTCAGCATTTTTGTTTTAAATGGCCCACCCTGTACTGTAGTATAGTACTATGAGCAAGTGTGAGTGTACTCTTGGCTTAAACCTCAACACAGCACAAACACATTTCTGTATCTTTTAAAATCGCTATAAAGCATAGGAATCAGCTGTTTGTTTTACCCTTTTTTCAAATTGACATTTAATCTATATTTGCTAAGCAGATTTTATATAATTACAGTATCTGAGTCATTGCAACTGAACTCATTAACACTGGATTTATCTGCACCACAGATGAGATCTGGTCTTAAAATACATCTGAAATACAAATTAACTAACATTGTTAAAAAAAATAAAGACAAGGGAAAGAGGGAGTGTGCAAATAAATCTGACTAAATAAACAACACATGCTATTTTTTCTTTATATATATGCACAGTGTTGCCTTTCTTATGAGTTTGTTTGGTGGACAAACAAAGACTGCGGCGTCTCCATCTTAGTCTCACCATACTGTGGCCCCTCAGCAGCAGTGGTGAGATCTCGCTGACAGGTGGTGAATAGCCGTAATCGTCACAGGGCAGGTCCCCTCGCCGCCGCCGCCCGTGAGGGACACCATTCTGACCGTAGTTTCGTGGGCAGAGAACGCGATACAGACAGAAGAGCAGCAGAACCAGCAGGACACCCGCAGCCAGGCCCAGAGCTGCCACCCTGGATCCAAAGACAACACAAAAGAGTCAGGAGTGCAGTGCCACCACACTACGACACATTTACCAGAAACAATCACACAGAAGCTGAACTTCTGTATATGCTCGTCAACTCCTTCACAAAATCTTTCAATGTACTGCACATTTGTTGTGTGTCATCTGTTCCATGAATTCACCCTTTTAATTGAAGCTCTAGATCTCTAACAGACTTTTTATCTCTCACAAAATACTGTGGAGATGCTGAGTTTTCTAAAATATTATCTGGACACTTTCACAGTCAGATGAGTAAATAGCCCAACTAGTGTATAAAGATCAAGCAGCAAAGTGAGAAACTGTTCATAACTGACAACAGATCTCGATGTTTACCTAAAACATTGTTCTGCAGCTGCACACTCACATGTTTATATAGTTTGTGTGTTGAACAAGTACAACTGTACAAATCTAACTCACAATATGTGGAACTGACCGCTTGGAAAAGAAAAACCATGAAACAGCGCATGTGCCAGCTCTTCTGTGGAATGTGGAGCTAATGTGATGATAACCTGGCAGAGGAGTGTTGACTTTCTCTGCTTAAAAAAACAAACAAAAAACCTCACATCTGCATTGTGAAAGTAGAGCTTTAACCCTTTCCCCCATGAAGGGAACATTTTGACGGCCAGGATTTTTGGAAATGCAGCTGTATAGGGAAACAAACGTCGCACAAACATCTGATGCACAGTCAGTAATCTTGTTCTACAAACAGGCCAATATGGGACAAACTCCTCAGTTCAGAAAAAGAGCTTTAAGGGTTACTACTACTTTCTGTGCTTATCTTTATTTTGCTAATGGCTACTTTTTTGGCCATTTGTTTTCCAATGAGTAAAATCCATCTAAAGTCCCTGACATCATTTAAACTCATGCAGAAACAAAAACAAGGCAGTCTGTGTACTTCTGTTAGCTTTTAAAAACACTTTAACTGCAATAACAGGAGAATTACTGGCAGCAGAAACGAGTTGGGGAACCAACATTGACACACAGTTGCTTATTTACACATCCAGCACCTCTGGGGCAACGTTGCCATTTATTTGCAGTTTTACTCATGTTCACAATATAAACGGCAAAATATTCACTTTCTTTTAGCTCCGTTTTGGACTGTAGCCACTTGTGAGGGAGATGTGTAGCTCATTGGTTTCTGGTGATGATGTAGTGGGATTTTTGAACTTGTTCAATACAAACAGATGAACAGCAGTGAGAATGAACAGGAGGAAACTTGAGTTTGCATTTCAGTCCTTGCCATGTACTTTTATTTATAAACTCATTTTAGATGTTACTCTAAAAAAAAAAAAAAGAAAAAAAGAAAAAACAGCACAAATGATGATGAACTCTAATCCTGTCTTCAGACCTATTACACACTACGGTTATTTCACACAAACATCCAGCGGTTTTCGAAGGTAAAACCAGAAACAGATGAGATGGAGTCAGTATTAACTGGTTCAAACTGTGTCATTAACTTTAACCACTGATTGCACAATTTTTTATTTTAGCTGTCTTTTTCCCTGTTTAAAGTTGCTTTTGATCAAGATGGTTTTAAAAGGAAATATAATTTCCCCATGTCTTTCAAAAAAAGAGAAGAAAAACTTGTGTTAAGCGGAACACTGGAAAGCTCTTCTTGTGTTAGTCTGTGAAATCGCTCGTGTATGATCACACAAAAGTAGGATGAGAGACTTTATCCAGTTCAAAACTTCTCTTAAACAAGACAAGGCTACGCTGACTCGTTTGTTACATGTAAAGATCTTTGCTCCAGATTAAAAGTACAGAGAATTCCCTTGTAACACCTTTATCAGTCTGGCCTTCCATCTATCGAAACCAGTGTTGATGTCAGTTGCCAATTCCCAACTGTGAAGGTCACGACCCCGACCAAACTGCTGATAGCAATCATATCTGCAGTCCAAAGATGACCAAAAACATCACACTTATGTCAAGGTGACAGACTGGTTTACACAACACGGTACAGTGTTGTTGCGGCAGATAGATGAGGCTGTTATAAGCTGATAAAGCTGGAAAGGACAGTGAATCGGTGTCTCTGAACCTCTAAGATAAAAGAACATTATCTTCCCATTTTAGCAGCTTTATTGGACCGATATTGTGTGTACACACACACACACACACACACACACACACACACAGCTCATCATTGTTGTGTAAAAGAACACTTCTAGTCTTAAGACTGATTTGCTAAACTACAGAATTCACAAATTTTAACCAAAGTTAAAACTTTAATTTCCATAAAATAACAATCTAACAACATTTCTAATGGTGTTGTACCTTAAGTACTATGGTAAACTGGGGGTGAGCTTAAACGTGCTCGCCAATGTGCCATGCCACTGACAGCTAGTCTAGTTGTAGTGAGAGTTTCTGCAATTATGTCTAAAATTGTATTTTTCACTGTGACTTTGACCTCTGACCAAAGTCATCACTGAAGTCTATGCTAACACTGAAGAAATTCCTAAGATATTCTTGTACAGTAAATACTTCCCACACAGGATTAGCCCATTGTCCCTGAATGTGTCACCTGCTAGGGTAAGGAAAAAAAGCCCCACAAAAAACACTGACAAAGCCTGTAAAGTAAACAAGTCAGCCAGGCTTGGCCAGTTAGAGAATACGAATACTTGCTAAAGACGGAGATAACCCCTGGCATTATTAGAATACACTAGGGCTGCTCGATTATGGCAAAAATGATAATCACGATTATTTTCACTGAAATTGAGATCACGATTATTTGACGATGTTTATTTAACCCTTTAAGACCTACCATAGAACCAAGTCCGCCAGAGCTTATATTATTTTTTTTGTACATGCTGTAGTGCCATTTGTGGGAGCATTTCAAGTTGCTATACATCAATACAACTGTTATAGCCCATATTTTGCATTAAGTCCATAGTAACTACATTAATTGCAAACAAGTGCAATAAACTACAAAAAAATTGAAAATCGTTTTTGTTTTGTTTACATATATTTCTACTTGGAGAAATTTAAGAGGTTTATCCCTCAAAACTTTAAATACAAAAAAGTTGCAAAAAATAGTTTACAACAACAGGAAATTTATTTTGAGTGTTGTTGGGTCTGTGTTTCCACAAACCCCGCTAATTCTAGAGACTTATTCATCATGAAGAAAACAAGACAGTCGATCGATCCATTACTTGCACAAGGGAGGCCTCGTCTGTGTCCAGCACGACAAAGAACCCCAATGGTGGCCTCCTCTCGCTGCCTTTTATTGACAATCCTCAAACAATAGTTTACAAAGCACCTCCCCTTGCAACCCCCCTTTGGTTACATAGACAAGGCACTGTGTGTGTGTGTGTGTGTGACCTCCTGCTGACCAAAGGGTCATAAACCCAGGAAGTTTACATCAAAAGAAACAGATCTTTCAGATAGGATGTATCTACAATAAAACCTCCCCCAGCACAGAGTGGCTGGAAAGGTGGTCAGGATCAAAGAGATGGCTTTGATCCTACTGCTTAAACTAAGACTGTACAAATTTAAGAAACACAATGGCAACATTCAACAATTAGACTTAACAAGTGTCTTCATAGTTTTATTTTGGAGATACAGCAATTTTTATATACTGCAGGAAAAACAAAAAAAAAAAAACAACAATCCTATGATGCAAATTTGCAAAGAAAACAGCATGTGCATCAAAATAAACTATTTCCAGCTGTGCAATTCGAGTTCTAAGCATCCCAGCAACTATTCAGAAAAGTATAGAGTCAAACATGACTTATAAAAACACTAGTATAAGTATAGTATAGTATAGTTTTTTACTTAAGGCCTACAAGTAAAAAAAAACTACATTTTCCGCAAAAATGACATCACTTCCGGTTTCGGGCAGGAAATGCGATAGTTCGAGTTGAGTCTTTTTCAAAGTGGGAAGTGTTACGAACAGCTGATGGATCGGCAAAGCGTGTTTCTGGAATATTATGTTTTTGTTCCTGCAAGCGCTTTTTATGCAATTTTTGCAAAGCTTTATGTGGAAGGAAACCGTGACCGAGGACAAGCTGATGGCATCAGATGTAAGTACAACTCCTCCGGTTTCATATGCAAAACAAATTATTGCGCTAGCTTAGCGGTTCAGGTTCTACAGGGATTTAAAAATAGTTACGCAAAACGGAGTGTGATGCTCTGACCGGCTTTAAAGGGTTAACAATAACAATGTATTGAATAATGACTTTAAAAAATAATATAAAATAGTGTGCAAATACTGATAACAGTGCAAATGTTTGCAATATAAGAAATAAATGAAAAATGTAAACATCTATGTTTAGTCAACTTTGCAGTGTTGCTCTGTGGTGCAGCTACTACATCGTAGCAAAGTTTACACACTGTCTACTTGATCCACGTCTAACTCCGCCAACCCATAATGTTCCCACACCACTGAAGTTTTTTTTTTTTTACCTCTTTTCAACCAACGGCAGTCACTCTCCTCTCCAAATAACTTCTGCTTAGCTTTCCGAGCTTCCCTCGGGTCCTCTTAATTGTTGTGACGCGTGTTCGAAATTGAGAGCGGTGCGCTTGACTTACCACACGGAGCAGCGCGAGAGTAAAGCATGAGGGAGGGTCTCATAATCGGCTCAGTCATTTTTAATGATCGTTGAAAGCCCAGATCGTAATCGTGATTAAAATTCGGTTAATTGAGCAGCCCTAGAATACACACAAAGAAACTGCATTTTCACCTCACATAAAAGAAGATTACCATCAGCCCAGCAACAGTGAACACTAAGCCAAGCATGAAACGTAGGTGCTCTTTTACTCCCTTCTGTGTTATGTCAACTTAAATACTGTAATAGAAAATACATCTACAGCACTGACAAGTTTAAAAGTAACTTAAAATGTTTTTGATTTTGAGAGAAGTGTCATGATTTCTCTTTGCAAGACCTCCAAGAGCAGTTCCGCAGACAGACTAAGACTGCAGCTGAAAAAAAGAGATTTTAGTCCAAAATTATGTTATTTCATGTCTGGAAAACTAAACCTGAATGGCTCAAATGCCCTAAATGCTATTGTACTTCACTGCTCCAACTTCAGCAAAACTGCAGAAGGAACTTAAAGGCTTCAGTGTCCAAGGTGCAATCGGTTCAATGACACAGGTACAAAGTGTGAAGGTCAAGGTCCTTTACCTGCCGTGGCCCCTATTTACACTCAGCTGTGTGACGTCAAGGTTTGTTTTTTCTAACCATGTGCAAAAACAGTGATCGCTAAACTGAACTGAAACTAAGAAAAGCTAGGGCCTGAAAAAGATATCACTCATTCAATTAGGCTAAGAAAATTATGTTTCTTTGTAAATTTGTCTTAAAAAAAAAATTATATGAACTCATAAAAACAATCAGAGCTGGTTCATCTGTACCTTCTTTCATAAGATACTAATTAAGGCAGGTAATTTAGCATTCAGAGGATTCTGAGATTTCAGCATTTCCCCCTTATTTCGTTAAGCATGTGTCTACATATTACACATAAATAACTTCCTCATGAACTAATAATAACAGCAGGAACCCAAAACAACAAGTACCCAAACAAGCGGGGATTAACATGACCCAACAGGTGGTAAGCTGCCCTGCCTGTAGATCCTACATGCATATATTTGGTCAGATCAAACAAGAAATGAAAGGATTTCTGTGAAAATGTTGGAGAGCTGTAGGAGTCTTATGTTGCTTTGAGAAACGTCCTTTTCAATGCGAGTCTCTAGAATAGTAGGGGCAAACAACTCAAGTAGCCACACTGATGGAAAATCTGCTGGATTTAAATAATCAAAAGTTACCCTTTTAACACCTTAAGGCATGCAGGTTTATCAAAGAGTTTGTGAGGCAGTTCAAACTTAAAGCGGGTAGATGTCTGTGTCTTTCTGACTACTAACTTGTAGAGGGTGAGGTCTGTCTGCAAGTCAGCAGAAACCTTGAGAATGGGTGGTTGAGGGTGTCTCGTGTCCTGAGGGTGACGTGCGTCAATGGCCTCCTGGGGTGTCAGATGAACAGTGATTGGGATGACAGGTAAGATGCTAATGTACCTGTAAAAGGACAATAACATAGTGGACATAATGAAGCTGAAAGAAACATCGAAGCAGAATTAAAGACTTAAGAAAAAAAAGAAACAAAAAAAAATTGTTCCTGGCTTTTACACCTTTAAAGTGGGAAAGTGTTTGTTGGACAACGCATAAGCACATAACTGAAGTAGGTTACTTGTTTGTAGCTGCATTTTCCATGTGGAGAATGGCTGACAGAAATTAGTTGTTCTTTTTGTCCAGCTTTTATTTGGAGTTGATATAAACTTCATAATGCAGCATTTCATTTTGCAGAAACATCCCATACACGCCAGGAATGAAGCAACACATTATGCTGCACCAGTATCATAACGAGGCAAGAAAATCTAAACTGCTTTGCTTGCTTTTATGGAAAATTTGGGATCTCCACTACAGTGTAATATACCGTTTCCCAATTAAGAAAATAACAGACTGACGAACAACAACAAAAAACTCCCCAGCAGCACTCGCCTTTTTGCTAAAGTGATGTTGTAGTAACTGAAGAGTGATGGCCAGTGCCTGAAGGACAGTCTCCTCCATCCCTCCTCATCCTCCTCCCCCCAGGTGATCTGAGGTACAGCGGGTGGGGACTGTGGAATGGGCCCTGCCCTTGGAGGGCCATGATGTCCCTGCGATTGGTTCTCAGGTAAAGGAGTTGGATCTGGTGCACGATGGATGCTCAAGGTGCTGGTAGGATCCCCACCTCGAAAAACCGGGGCCACTCCCAGGTGTGGGGGCAGACCACCTCCCCCGGTGTCGCCTAAGGGGCTTTGTTCAGACACCTGTGCAGCCAGGTAGGTGCGGATTCCAGCTGGGTCGGTATACACAAGGATACCAATCCAGATCACTGTGCCAGCCTAAAAATGAAAAAATAAAAAGGTCATGTTGATCAGTTAGCTGGAATATGTGGCCAGCTTCATTTTACATCGAGCTGATATTTACTTAATTTAGACCACTTTAACCTAATGTATGTATATGCTTGTATTAAACGAATCCACCTTACAGTGTCGGCATCTTTACATACATTGTTGGCTTTATGTAGGCACAGCAATAAGCTTGCAGACTGTAAAAGCTATTCTGTTAGTTTTAAAGCTGAAACAGACATTCACCCCCCCACCCAAAAAAAAAAAAAGATCTTGTCAGTCTTTGCCATTGTATGAAAGAATTAGAAGCTGACAGTTGAAGACAAATGGCAGCAAAGTGCACAAAAACATTTACAGTCAGTTCTGAATTTGTCTTCTCACCATGATGATGCGCTGAGCCAGGCGCGTGCGAGCCAGGAAGTACACCACACGCAGCCTCTTGGGGAGCCTCAAGTTTCTAAAGGCTGGTGTCTGCAGAGTGATTGTATGCGGAGAGGGTCGCGGTGGAGGGGGTACCTCACGTGTACGCAGGGGGCCTGGCTTGGGTGGAGGCATACCTGCTTCAGCTGGCAGGCGGCGGTTCAGGTCAGCCAGCTAAAGGGAAATAATGAGGTTCACACATTTTTTTTTTTTTTAAAACATCGTTTTTTGTATTTTAAGTCAACTTCACAATACATGCTGAAAATATCAAGAGTGATTATGTGTCTCAGTGCTGGTTGTGTTTTTTTGTTGTTTTTTTTTTTTATTTTAAACTCAGTTCTTGCCTGGTGCACAAAGGTTTACATCACATAAAACTCTTGCTACTTAAATCTAATGTTGAGTCCAGCATATTAACTGTGTGTGTGTGTGTGTGTGTGTGTGTGTGTGTGTGTGTGTGTGTGTGTGGGGGGGGGATTTGAAAGTATGCATATGCGTTTCTCACCTCCATGCGGCGAATGTCTATAGATAGTACAGTGGTGAAGAAAAACATCTGCAGGAAGAAGTCAGACACCAGCCCCACAACAGCAAATAAACAGAATTCCTAAAATAAACAGAGGAGACATTAACCACATAGAAGCATTTCCCACCTGGCTTGATTTAGCATTATGCTTTGCTTATTTAATAACAATAACTTTAACTACAGTTTTCTCCTGGTGCACTTCCTTCAACAGTTCCAGCATTTGTCCTCTTACCTGGATAGCTGGCACAAGAGTGAAATATCCAATGAGGATAATACACAGCTCAGTGGCCATATTCTTCATGATAGACCAGCTCTCATTACTAAGGCCTGAAAAAACAGAACAACAATCAGGGAAAAATAAAGAAATGCACAATATTTAATAAGCCATGACTAAACTACATTCTCCAAACTTACCTTGAGCTATGCGCAGTTTGACCTCGAGGTCGACAGGGGTGGAAACCACAGACTTGGTGAGCACCAAGACGTTCTCCAGCCCGATTACCACCACCAGATAAGGGAAGATCTCACTGCAGGGAGAAAAATAAAATACCCTCAACTTTGAGTACAGTTATCTTTGGTAATATACACTTTCACCACATTACCACTGTGTGGAATTCTGTTTAAATTACAAACACAAATGTACTTTAATAATGCAGCCGCCAAGGCACCGAGAAAATGTATGTGGTCCACTCCTATGTTTTGTTTGTTTTTTAGTTATAAAATCAGTCATTTAGGGTTCAATTTCTTTTTTTTTTTTTAATTCTTGGCCCACATAGCTGGGAATTTCCCTGAGATTAGTATGTGTGACAGATTAGTTTGACAGGATAGATAAGCTTTAGATGAGGCAAGTGTATAACTGGGTCACACACACACACACTCAGTAACACTGTACATAATAAAACACACACACACCCAACACTATCTGTATCTCACCAGCTTTGTGTGTGGAGTCGATTATGACTCTGCAGATTTGCATGTTGCAGTCATAGTTTTGGTACGTTGGCCTTGATGTGTGTTTATGCAAGCACATGGCCTGGGCATTCACAGCCCATGGAGGACTTGCATGGATCTTAGTGGCTGGTTAACAGTACCACTGTCACGCCATGAGGTCTGCTTCCTAATAAACAGCTCACGATTGGACAGCCATTAAACGTCAGTATCTGAATACATCTGCCCCATATTTCAGTCCATCCCACTTCCACACAGTGTTCTTCCTTTTTCATACACACTAACACGCTGTTTGCCCACATGAAGTGATCATTAATAGAACTCCATGTACGATCAATACAGAAGAAGAGGAAAGTCAAAAGTCAGGTACGTGCACGTGAGTTGGTAAAAATAAGGATACAACTGACAGCCAGCTAGAGGTGTTAACATTAACAGGATATATTTGAATGTCAGTAAGAGCAGGAGAACAATGAAATTACTGCAGACATAATTTCAGTAGTGATTCACAAGTTAAACTCATCCTTCAACCTCTTAAAAATATTAGCTAGTAAGTGTTTTCAGGCTGCCGCAAAGAGTTGACTCGGTTCATTTGGACATAGTGTTTTCAGAGAGTTTCCTGAAAACGCTACATCCAGACGTACAGAATGAATTTTTTAGGACTTCCTTACCTGGATGATTGAGCGTGCATGAAGACAGCTTTTAGGCTGGTTTAAACAGCATTCATAATAAAGAAAATGTACTGTAAAAACAGTTCATGCACTTAAAAGTGTAAGGAGCATTCAAGTGCTAATCACTACAGTCTGAAGTTAAAGCTACTGTGGAAGGTAAGTGCAATAGCACTGGAAGCTACTTCAGTTAACTAACATACAACGATGCCATATGCATTAGTTTCTACATGCAAACACGAGAAGAAAACAAAACAAAACAATGTTTTAAAAAAAATGGCACTGACTGTAATGAAACTGATTCCTTGCTTTGGTGTAATCAAGGGAAACAATGAGTATAAGTCATGAAAGTACAAGTACCAAGTTGCTCTCAGTGATGCAAACATACATTTTTGCTGCGTCTTGATTAAACTGTTTTCTTGGCTGCCTGATTTTTGAAACAGTCTCTGCATTCCTTGGCTTAAGTTTTAGGCTGAAATCTAATAAGCATCTGCTGCCAAAATGGCATGTGCGTTACTGTTCCTGGCAGATGAACAAGAGCAGAGACCAGACCCCTTTAGTAATCTTCAGACACTCAAGTATGTAGAAAATGGTTTTTACCCTCCATTAAGTGTGGGTGTCAGTCCAAACAGTGTACACAGACCCACAGACATGAGCAGAGAGCTGAGCACTGTGACCACAGCAGCCAGAGCAAGGCCCCACTTAGATTTCACCATGTCGATCTTACCTGCAAGGAAGAAAAAGATGATATGTTGAGGACTTCACACTAAACAGCTGTACAACTATTCAAATCCTCAGCCAGACCTTGTCTTAAATCAAATGATGGTGATCATGTAGAGAAGGCGTTTAAGCATTTCCAAAATTACATTTCTAGATGGCAGGTGATGACACTGAACACTAGGCTTGCTGATAAAATATGCAGGGGTTATGAAATGAAACTGTACAGGCTATCCATTTCTCAAACTTGCAGGTTTTCTTTGAAATGACAATTCTGAAAATGACTACACTGTAAAATAAAACAGCAGCTGCATATTGTTGTAACAGATGTTTGTTCAATTACAGTTTTCCAAGGCAGCCTCAAGTGTACACTCTGATTTTCCAGACTGGAAGGAGAGGTCTTTCTCAGAAGGGAACAGATAGCAAAACAATGGTGAGACAAATAACTGAACTTTCTGACCCCGATGTATCAAAAATAAGAATGAAACTTAAACAGACTCAACATAAGAAAGAAAGCTCCGTTTTATTATCGGAGCAAAGAAACATCGTGGACCCTTCTGACCTCTCAGCTTTCCTCGAACCTCAGGAGAACAGAAATAAAGACTGTGTGCTTCATCTTTCTCACACATTCTTTCCACTGTCTAATGCTGCACAGACCCCGTTTCATATCACACGTCCCAAATAAAATTCCCTTCTTTTTACTGTTTAATGTGAATTTCATGAAGAATTTTTCCTTAAACTGTACTTTGCGCAGCACCACTTCACTGTCTGAGACACTAGCAGCCCAGTCTGCTCTGACGTGTAATCAAAGTTTCTTCACTTTTCAGTTGGCATAAAAGTCAGGCAATGTTGGTTACTATGCTAAAAAAAACAAACAAAAAAAACAAAACAAAAAACCCCTATGAAAAATGCTAAAAATCTGAATCATAGAAAAGCGACATGCTAAATATTTCTCTGGTGGTCAAAATTACAGCACAGCCATTTATTCAACATCTCTGAATGGTTACATTTTCAGAGGATATCAGCTTTGGAGATACTGACATCAAAATAAAACCTTACACTTGTGTTTACCTCATGTTTTCTGTGATCACAAGGTGTTCCGGTATTATTATAGAATATTATGGCTCTCTTTTGGGTTCATTAAGAAACATTACCGTAATTGTCGGGCTATAAGCCGCTACTTTTTGCACAAGCTTTGAACCCTGCGGCTTTTAGTCAGGTGCGGCTTTTCTATGGATTGTCCGTGATTTTTGTCATATCGTAAGACGATTTGTTTTGTTTGTTCCGCTGTTGTACGGCACTACGTTGCCTGGCGGACGGACATGTGACTAACATGTCCGTCCGCCAGGCAACGTAGTGCCGTACGAAGTAGCGCGAAAAACAAACTTCAAAGTAGCGCTACGCGTTCAGCGGGAGGCGTGGATGATGAGCAGCGATAAACTTGCGAAAAGCAAGTTATGCCCAACTCCACCGGTGGAATCTGACAGCGTGGAAAAGTGTGAAAACATCCATGATCACCAACGGATTTCGAAGGGCTGGACTGCTGCATGATGGAGAGGAGGACACCGCCACGGCCCTTCTGAGGGTGTTCGACTCTGACACTGACAACGAAGGAGAGAAGCTGAGAGTGGATGACGAAGCCATCCTGAGCCTGTTCATTTCCGACACTGGAGGAGAGGACTTTGGTGGTTTTAGTGCGCAGGAAGAAGAGAAAGATGGTGGTGAATGACTGACTTTTCTTCTTGTTAAAGCCGTGTCACTGCACCTGAGCCTAAAAGGTAGTCTGAATCTATTTTTCTGGTGTGCTGTAGGTTACTGTTATGTACTACATGTGCAAATATGTACCCATAACTTGTTTTTCAAAATATTAATAAAAGGGGTGTGTCTCCAAACAGCCATCTCTTTCCTGACAATTCCTTTGTGCATATTCTCTTACATATGATAAGTCAACATTGAAACACCCGCGGCTTTTGGTCAGGTGCGGCTAATGCATGTACAAAACAGGATTTTCCCCTGATTTTAGCTTGTGTGGCTAATATTCAGGTGCGCTTTGTAGTCCGGGAAATACGGTAGTCTCATTGAATAATTATCTAAATTATTATACTGCAATTACAAGTGCATATCAGGAGCCAAATGTGAGTAATTTAACCACCTTGCAGGTGAAAATTCATTTGAGTACTTGGACGGTGTGTGTGTCTGTGTGCACGAGTGTGTGTGTTTGTTCCCTGAGCTAATGTTTGTGCTGGCAAGCTGCCGATGGTTTGGTGGCTGCATTCTTACAGCGGTGTGCAATGTTCCCATGTGAGGATTATCCCTGCAGCAGACAGGGACAACCTTGGCACCCAAACACTTGTGCACACAAAAGGGCACAGCACGTTTTGCCCTCATTCTCTGGCACTTTTCTGTTTTAACTATGGTGAGGTGTGCAAACAAGTGGTAGTGGTGGGGGGAGTCGAGATGTTTGAACATGCACCGAGTACAAAGCAGATTTAAAGGGAGTTGGACTAACGTGTAGAGAAGTAGATGTAGGCAAAAAGAATGATGTATGTGGTGACGAGCGGGATGAGTTCAGCAATGCCGATCTCCTCCTTGAAGTGGACGTGAACCATGTGGTCATCTCTGAGGGTGCAGTTGGCGGATGGGTGAAGCTGCTTCAGCCGGGCCCGTAGGCTGCCTAGGAACCTGGACACACAAATAACAATTAATCATCGTCACATGGAGTAACAAACTTCATCACTCCATTTTTAATTTTGAGAAACAGACACTTTGCCTTGAGGGACAGATGTCATTAATCCAAGGAGAAGACAGTTCTGACTATTTATGCCGTTCTATTGAAAAAGTGAAATACAATAAAATGCAAAACCTAAGTCACAGACTCCTACTCTGTTCAGGCTCCAGAGTTAGTTTGTAGATCTCAGTTTCAGTTAGTTTCCAGAGTTGGTTTGTTCTTTTAGTTTAGTTTTTAATGCATAGAAACATAGTTTGACCGTGGGCAAGCCCAGAACAGACAGACGATACAACAGAAAACACTTTCCAAAAGACACTTGACTCAAAGTCATGGAAACATCCCAGTCTCACGCTCCTCAAGCTTCTTCTCTGAAAATTTTAGTAAACTACAAAAGATTGAAACTTTTCCAATTTAGTTCCATTAGTAAAATATATATTTCTTAACTCATTCACTGCCATTGACGTCTACAGACGTCAATTACGTTTTTCAATGGGAGGGGCCAGAATACTACCTCGGGCAGCTTGTCAGTGAATCTTATTTTTTTATATATTTGTAAATAAATTGTTTTGATAAAACATAACCTTTCTCAGTGTTATTTCTGTTTTATAGAAGTGGAAAACTATTTTATATGTTAGAGGTGTCACAAAGCAAGAAATATTAGTGTCAAAGGCACTTTTCTGCTTGAAATGTATTTTTCACAAAAAGCTCGTTTTCTCCCTTTTTTTGGTCAAAACAGGCATTTTTGGTGGAACCCCCCTCTCTTCTACAGCTGATTACTAAAGAATGGAAAATGGTAGAAACAAGCTTTTTTTTTTGGATGAAAGAAGAGTCTGTTCTTCATTTTGGTAGGTTCAGCGTTTATATGATCATAACACACAGTTTTCTGTGGCTCTTCAAAAATGAGTGGAAATGCTCAAAAACCCTGGCAGTGGGGAGTTACCTGATTTGAAAATGGCTGGCAGTGAATGAGTTAAGTGTAGTTTGTAATTATTATTTTTTATTTCTGTTTACCGATTTTAACTCTATTAGTTTAAAGTTTAAGGAAGTGTGTATTTTGTGTCTTAAGCTTTTTCTAAAGCAGCATTACCGTCCAAGAGTCACAGAGTTAGAGATGACAAAAATATGAAACGAGAAAAAAAACAAAAAACTAAATTTTCCAGTGACATCCCTTAAAACTAAATTTAAATAGAACTGGCTTTTAGTTTACTGTTCTATTGCCTTTGTAACTCACCTTGCATCATAACTGGATAGAACTACAGTGATTGTGTAGGTCACCACCCTCTTCCTGTTGTAGTGACTGACCCCCGAGTACTTCACAGGAACCCCGAACAGCAAGTCTAAAACACACACAGTAAACATCTTCATGTAAATAGACTCTTCATATTCTAGTAACAGACCATCTTTTTACAGATCACTTTAGGTTGACCACTGGTTATTTATTAGTCACCAGCCAAACATTCTCAAAGCCCTTAGGTCTGTGTCAGAACAGATACAGTTACCACTTCTTTATGAGAATGAAAAGAAAAGAGAAGTTTTAGAGCAGTTTTAGGCTTAGAAAGCTTTGTGGGAATCTGCTGTTGTCACCAAGTTCTTTTGATCTTAGTCACAACACAAGGAAACATCTTAGTGATCAGGAGCACACGTGAAAGCAGGGAAAAAAACAAAAACAAAAAACCCCCCCCAAAACCCTAAGTGACAACATCCTGGTTTCAATAATGAAGTTAAACGACAACTTGAAGCTCACTCGAAAAGCAAATCAATCCATCAGCTCTGGTCTCAGACATGAGGGTGAAGTTATAAAGGAGTAAATAAGTTCAGGAACCAAAATGGCAACTGCTATAAAACTAAAAACTAAGCCATTAGAATGCAAGCCTGGAACACAATCACTAAACTCAGATCCATCCATACGTTCACAAAATGACCTCAAAATACATTCATCCTCACTGACTGCCATCTCTCATAGTTATATATTTTACACTGGGTACCTGGTGGAGTTTGGGGCTCCCCTGCCCTGCAAGAGCAGCTGAAATATAATCCCCAATGTAACCAGGCTGACAAGCCTCGAGTCAGCTCAGTGTGAACAAGCATATCAGTCTAACTTTATCTGACAGCCAAGCTGTCCCTGACTATATCTTTAATATCTCTTGAAGTGGCAGATGTGGCAAAATGCTGAAGGAAACTTGGTTCACTATGTCAGTGGGTAGCATTTTAAAAGAATTCAATAAGTTCCCAAGGAATGAAACTGCTTGTTCTCTGTCAATACGAAAGCCTCTTAGTTGGCTGATACAACTAATCCCCTGCTCACTACTACCGACAATTACTCATGCTGAATGATGGCAGACTACTTTCAACAAGGCAGTCAGAGTATAACACATTCTTTTCCCCTGCACTTTAACAGACTATACAACAGGCACGAGGTACTCAATATGGTGACCACCAATGGCAGTTTCTGACAGACCATTTAAAAATGCCTGTAGTTCAGAATGAATTAGTCATCTCATGGATCATTGCATGGCAAAAAGCAATAACACAGGCCAGACTGGAGCTTTCAGATTTTGTCAAAATAAAAAAAAAAATGCTCCCACACCTACTGACAGGCGTGAGAACATTTCGGACACAATGACAATGTCCTATTGTATTACGATTTGTTAATTACTTAATACATCGATTTTCACAAGGACCAGTTAAGGAAGCACTGAAGCTCTAATCTTGGGCACGCTTCAGGATGACACCACATGCTCTGTGGACGGTGACAGAGACTTTGTCTGAACACATTCACTTAACCACTCCTTGGCAGGGTACGCAGTGATCACACAAGTCACACAGTTGGTTACAGTAACAATTATTAGAATGTGAGTAGAACCTCAAAAAGAAAAATGTCCAAGGGCTTTTTCTGAGTAGAATATGGTAGCAGACCAAACTGAGTTATATTTATGTACTCGCTTGTTGATCAAAGGTCTGTCAAGGGAATGGTTTGTTAGCAATACTGTACACAGAACCTACTGCACACACACGAGGGGAGGCCACTACTGAATCAGAGCTTTCCAAATTACTACCTCGCAATGTCGCTGAGGTGTGCAAGCCTTTCGGTTCATGTTTCTGGATGGTCTTGAGGGGGTCGGGGTCCGAGTCAAACAGCTCCCGTTGGTTCTGCCAGTAGTTGCCAGGAGAAACAAGAAGGCAGCCATGCTCTGGCAGCACCGACTGCATCCGCCGTAACCCTGGAAACAGATCTGTCACCTGGAGACACAAAGACTCCAGACTGCGAATGCCGGAGCTGACAAGACAAGAACGAGACAGCGGTAAAGACAAGAGAAGAGGAGGTGTGACAGAAGACGAGGAAATCAATGCAGTACAGCTCACGGATACCAAATGCTCCTGGAATAAATGAGATTTAAATAAACTAATAAAGTATTGAACAGCAATAAATCGTTAATGTAAAAATAGTTAAACAAGTATTTAATTGAAACCAGAAGCACAAAAGCAAAGCAAACTGTTCTGGGAACTATCATTGATACAGTAGATTAGTCAAACAGAACAAACCATAAACTTTGTAGTTTACAACAGATCAATAACTCAAGGTCATTGATGTTTATCCCCCCCCCTTGGACTAAATTCAAAGAAGCTTTTGGTTCACAGCTTTCCTTCCACAGCCCTCTGCTCTAGTCTTTCCTTATACTTAGACTACACTTCATAATGTAGTATTTTTTCATTGTGTTACTGCAAATTTACCACCGTCACATATCAGTGCACCCAAGCTTACCTGTCGGAGTGAACATGGTTGCGGATCTCTTCCAGCAGATTGAAGACTCGACCAAGAGGCGACCGAAAGACATCCACCGGCACCAGGCTGTTGTCCCATGGAGACACTGCTGCCTTCACCAACACCTGCTGGATGTAGGCGACCGGAGGACCCCGGTACTAGGGAAAACATGTAGGCAACTTATTAAGAAACAGATTGTGATTAAGTACAATGAACCAGCTACTACTGCTGACTGATTTTAATATTAGTATTTAATATTAACTAAAAACGTATTCTTTGTTTCTTATTCCCCTTGTTACAGCAAATTAAAACTAGTGTTGACAAATCGTGTGAGCCACTGTTTTACTATTTATGAGCCTCCAGCTTTGCCCAGCCATCATTTTTGAATATTCAAGCCTAAGATTAAAATGTATTTCAGGTTTGAATGCCAAAGCTTAAACACATCCCAAGGAAATAAAACAAATCTTATGGATTTCATGTTTTTTTCTCCTACCCAGTCAGGGCGCTCTCCAAAGTCACCCTGAGGCTCATGGAAAGGAACGCTGTAGTCTCGCAGCCCTGTGGTGAACTCCACAGGACCCGTCCCAGGCAGGGGGAGCCTCAATAACGGATAGCTAGCAGGAAGAGAATGTGGGGGTGGGGTGGGGGGTGGGGGTGGGGTTCACATGTCAAACAATAGGAACAAGGGAATTTAGTTCAACTTATATTTATGCATCTACATCCTTTTGTTCATTCATTAATAAATGGAAAAGACATTCTCACTGTAACGCAAACCCACATGCATGCTTTCAAAGAAAGCAGCAGACAGCTATACACTACGGACCAATGAAGCCACCACGATAACGGTGAGTGCTTCCCTGTGATGCATGTTGCAACACTTCTGAGTAGATGAAACCAGCACCTCTGGCTTTTCCTGCCAGATTAAGTTTCATGCGCAACCCAGAGAGACCCGCTCCCTAGTTCTCCTGGAAATGGGCAGGTCTTCAAGAAAACAAACTTCATCTGAGAACCAAACCACTCCCTTCTTTCATTCCTTCTCTGCATGTGTCTATATGTAGAGGAAGCACGTTCAGTTTGAAATGATAGTGTTGAGCAACCCTGAAAAATACCTGAAAGACTGAGCTGGTGGTGGCAACAGAGGTGGATGGAATAAAGCTTTTAAAAGACTCTCTGAAGTGTTTTGGATGTATGCCCACTGTCTTGGTGCTTACTTAAAATGGAAAAAAAGTCATCACAAAATTATCAAAGGAAGTCAATTCCTTCTTTAAAAAAAACAAACAAAAAAACCCCCACAAACTACATTTTTATTTTTTTCTTATGCCTAAATTATGTCAAATTCAGCCAAAAGTAATCAAATGTGCCTTCATCAGCTTTATAATAGGGATTTTAGCAGAGCACCTCAAGCTTCCCACTCAGGCTACAACTAACAACTAATTTTATTCTCAATTAACGCAATGCTGACTTTCTGAATTTGTTGATTTTGTCAAAAACAAGAAAAACACTGATACACCTCTATTTGTTAGCATAACCTTAATCTAAGGTCGTGTTGTAGTTGATAAATAGTCCAAAAGTCAAAATAGTTTTAATGTCAAAGAAATGCATCAAATTCTCACATGAGAGAATGTAAAAGAATTAAATATTTATATTAAAAATAAATCATGATTTAATTATCAAAAGCAGCTGCTGACAAATTGTTCACTTTTAATTAAACTAAGCTGTAGCTGTGCTGCCCACATGGCTGTCGTCAAGGCCGCTGAGGATAAAACAAAGTAAGAATTCATCTAATAAAAATGGGCTCTCTCCTAATGAGGTCAAGCCTGGAGAAAATTAAGTGCTCCCCAAACATCACCATCACACTTTTTTTCTTTTTTCTATAAAAAAAAAAAAAAAAAGACACAATACAGCCTTCAGCAGTTGAGCTGTACCCCAGTTTAGCAGTATAAATAAAGTTACGTTTTAATTTTTGATGATGTACATCTTTAGCTGGAAAAGGAAAAGTGGTCTGACAGAGGTTCAGAAATCTCAGCAGCTGATGAAGGATCAATTGGGTCACTGGTACCTTTGTATCCAGACAGCTTATATGAACATATTGTACTCTAATACAAATATCAATTCTTGTCTTTTCGATGGAAACCTCTGCCTGCTTTTCGCTGTGCCTCACCTCCCTCTCCCTCATGCCTCCTCCACTCTCCTAGGTCACTGTACCTCCACAAAGGCCTCTTTTGTGCCGAGCCAGCCCCCCTCCTGACAAGCAGATGGAGGGACAGGCATCCCATTCTCACAGGGCCACTTTCTCACAGCCCTCTGCTCTAGCCCTGCCTTAACATCCCCGTTGTCCAGCTCTTTTCTTTCATTTTACCCCGGGTGGTAGTCAGTCGCCCATTTGGTCAGCACCCCTGCTGTAAGTTGCAGCAAGGACAGCACGCTGCAGGGGCATGTGTGCGTTTCTGATTGTTTTACAATGCCTTTACTTACAAAGCCTGTCAAACTCTGACCCATGTCCTCTCTTTTGAGGAGTGATTTAGCAAGAGGAGATATGTGCGTGAGTTCAGTGAATGTTTGTGTCATCATGTCAGCAGGAGGCTGTTGTGTGTGTACAGATGGCCAGTTAAACTGAGCTGAACTGGCCAACTGAGTTTTCCCCTCTGAAGTCACTTTCTCCATCTGTCTGTTTCTGTAAAGTGGATGACAAGATTTCCTCTCATCTTTTAACAGAATTGGTACTAAAAGGAGGTCATCATGTCCACAGGTTCTTGCAAAACAGTCTGCTGTACTGTTTAGTAGATTTTGACTGGACTAGGGCTGCCACAAACGATTATTTTGATAGTCGACTAGTCACCGATTATTTTTGCGATAAGTCAACGAATCAGATCGCGCATCCATTGGACGTAAAACGTACAGCTTATTGCACCAGCATGCATCTGCTCTTATATAACTATCATTAGCTTACAGCTTTAAGTGTTTAAGGTATGTGCTAACTAAAAATAAAGATGCAGATTGCAGTGTTTCGGTGGAGTTTAATAAACTCAGCCGTCTGCTCCTTGCTATCTAAAATATAACAGGACACCGGAGTATATTCTCGAGCATCTCACACTTCTGATAATCAGTTGTCTGCTTGACGTTTATTAAGCTGTGTAAAAACTATAACTTTAATCTCAGCCAAACTGATTTACTGAGGAACAAATAAAATACTAAAAAAAAAAAAAGAATCACATTTTAAGTTACCTAAGTGACTTTTATATCATGTTTAACCTGAGTAGCGAAAGACGGCGGTGGGTTTGAAAATGATTTGCCGGGAGTCCGGTGTTCTCACCAGCTCTAGTGAGCCTTGCCCCGTTCAGTCCGTTATTACGCTCTTAAAATCCTACTACTTATTCCTGCATCTTTCGGGATCTTACAAAGCTTCAAACGATGCGTCAACTATTAAATTAGTCGTCGACGTAATCGTGACTAGTCGACTAATCGTGGCAGCCCTGGACAATGTTTCAAAAGCAGTTTTCTGAACCCTGCATAGGTGGTCAACTAGCTGGTCACAGTACAACTGTTCAACACAACCACACTCTCTGGGAAGGTAAAAAGTGAATCTGAGGAGGGGGAAGGTGTATCTTAATAAGGAATAAGAGGGAGCATAATCAGACAGTTTCACCATTAACGTACTTGGTTGTATACAAGAACAAGAACACGAGTAGATGCTCCACAATGAACTCATCAGTATAATACGTAGGTGTAAATGCCAGCTTGTCAGTTTTTCAAAGTTAAAAAGAAATCCATATTACTGAAACTGTTCCCTGTATGCTCAAATTACTTATATTACACTCAATACCTACCAGCAGGTGAGGATGCTGGCCGAGGTGAAGAGGATGATGGGTACTGGATAGGAGGCACACAGCAGCCCGTGGCGGTAGAAGGCCGCTGAAATCTTCTCTCTCAGCTGCTCGCGCAGCGTCATCTTGGTGGGCTTGGTCAACTCCCGGCCATTGGGAAGAACTGGGCGGCCGAGGACAGTTCGCCGCGGGGCATCCAGGGACCTACGAGTGCAAGCGAGTCAATAGATTCACCGAATGAATATTTAATTTCACACATTTTAAAGCCAAAACTCGTGGGATGATTTTGACTATAAAATTATTCATTTTAAAACTTTTAATCCAGAGGGGAATCTGGTATAATAATTAAGTCATTTAATGATTTTCTAGGGGGAAAAATGTCTTATATACTCCTATGAGATCTGAGAGTTCAGAGAAAGGGGAAGGGACAAGGGGAAGACTTTATATTTAAGACTAAACTTGTTATGGAGATTCATCAGACATAGTGAAACTGAGTGAAATCCTGTTTTATAACTGATAAATAATTATTTGCATACATAAGACATATTTCCTTTTCAGACATATAACATTTGACATCCAAAATTACAATACTTTTTTTTTTACTTCAATATTTTAGTCTAAGAAAAGCATAAATTCCTTCCAGAGAAAATAGATTGTACTTTTAAATATTGAGATTGCTGACACTGCATCCAATCAGTCTAAATAATGCAATCTTATAAAGATGTATTACAAAAGCAACAGTTTTCATATTTTTAAATAACTGGCACAGTTGTCACTGTTTAGACGTAAGCACATGTGGAACAAAATAGCAGCACAGAGGCAAGTTTTATAAATATTGTCATCCCTCTCTTATCAGGCCAAATCGTGTAGTGCATCTCCACAGACTAACACACAGAAACAGAGGTCAGCTCTGTTACTGAGAAGCTCTGTCCTGGAAAACTAATTTGTTACACACATCTTGTGGTGCCATTCTTACTGCTAACTAAAGGCAGTGTGGTTTTTTTCGTTCAAACCAGCTCATACTGTGGTCACATGCTGCATAGCACTTAAACACACGACTCATTCAGTAGCCCAAAAGGTGTGGACACATTCCCCACGGTGGAAAATATCCAACTGTGGTACAGCAGTGAAACATACATGCTTTACTGGTCACACCTGGGGAAAATTACAACCTCCACGTTCCCTGAAACAACTGTTTCTCAGAAATTTCCTGTAAAGTTACATTTAGATAATAATGCACAGGAGGATATGATGGTGAAAATGGAAGAGGGTAATGTTTAACTATTTAAAGAAATAAAAAAATAAAATAATAATAACAAAACAGGTACTGAAAAGCTATTTGTAGAAGACGAATTCATTAAGTCATTAATCATTAGTCACCACCTAAATATCTTTCGACCTTTGGACAGAGAAAGCAATTGGAACACATATCTGACTGCTGGACTTCTTAGCAGTCTTCCAACATGAATCATCCTTTGAACCAGTCCTAATATTTCCATAGCTATAAACAGAACAAAATGCTTTTCATACAACAGGATGCCCCGAAACTGAATACAACAGTCCTGTATACTCATTATTGATGCTAATGAATTCTAGTAGCTGAACTTTTAGGTAACTTTGATGATCCCAATTTATCCAGCCATGGTACAGCACACATACTATGTGCCATATGGTATAAAGGAAACAGCTAAAGGAAACCAGCAAACTTGTTTAGCTATTTCCATCGATTGAAATTTAAAAGTTAGATAGTTGTGTAGACCACATTCTTTCATCCATATTATAGGAACTGAAGAATTGTTCTCTGGCATAGGTGCACATTTTATACACATTATATGAGTATCGACAGAGATATGTACAAGTACACAAAAAAATATTTTTAACTGACACCATGCACTGATAATTTGTCGATCAACCAACAGGTTAACATACTCTTAACTCTGATTGGCATCATAATCTCTGGTTTCCATTCTATACAATAATAATCACAATCATGACAACGTCCGGAAATTGACCATCGTTCAAATAAAGAAATGTTAATGTTAGGATGATGTAAACTGCCAGACTAACTGCTGAGTTTGATGTGACTTATCTGAATTCAACATTTGATTTCTCCAGCCTGACCCCCTTAACATGACTCTGTGCTTGAACACGGATGTCAACTCAGGTGGAAAAACTGAACTCTTTGACGTAAACGTGGTTCACTTAACAACAAACGCAGTCACCAAATTGGCCTCCAATCGCAGTTCTCGTTTCCCTGTTTACTCAGTCGGCACGTTCAGAGCTGCCTATCAGTGTAAACACTGCTCTATTAAAAATATTTAACTGGGTTTCCTGGCACACATACAGCAGCTGGATTTGTTCAGTATCTTAATCCACCAGCTCTCACCTCAGCTTCTAAAATCATGTCAATAAGCAGCATGAAACTGTTAACCAAACAGTGTTGTTAGACAAGTTAGACTGTTCTAAGAGCATACCTGCCAATGGGAGACCAGTTTATCTCTCTGGCTTGCACCCGCTGAAGTCCCCTGAAAGCAGAAACGGTGGGTTTTTTTAGCTTTACGTGCGCTTTGTGGTTAACACAGTGCTCCCTCCTCGACTCAGACAGACTGTGTAATTGCTCCGCTTGTCCCCCCGAGAACAGCGGAAACATTCCCCGGGAGGAATTTGCCTCAGGAGTCTCTTGATCTGCTGTTATAAATACTCCATACAGTAAACACAGCAATGTCCTAGTAACCTTGCACAATAGGTGCAGCAAACGTTAAAGGCAGATTTTGAAGTAATGACTTTCTGCTCTCAACCTGGTCCTGGTTCCAGGGGCCATCTTGCCAGGGAAAATTTTCAATGAATGCCTCCATCTCTCAGTTGTTTGTCCAGCAGGGTAAGTGGGTGTAGCTGTAAGGCCCAATTTGGCAAAGGGTCAGCACCATCTCCGTCAGTGAACTAATCCCGGATTGAGCTGATCGGAAACTCAGCGAGCAGGGCTCAGGACCTGTAGCCATCCCCCATCATCTCCCTCCTCCTCTGGCCAAAGCCGGCCAGCGTACTATTATGCCAGTTACAGCAAGCCAAGACATTCACCATCTCAAAAGCATGGTGTATTTGAGAGAGGCTTGACAAGTAAAACGTAACAACTAGGGCATTAACACCAGTCACAGGTCAAGTGCTGGTAAGGAGTAGCCTTTCTCTTATCTTCAGCCATTTTTGGCAAGTGACCAGCAATTATTCAGAAATCCTATTCTGTATCACAAGATAGACGATGGTGTTCCCTAACAAACACTATGGCTGTAGTACATTAAAAACATTATATATTATATAACACAAATAATATTTCCTGACTAAGTCAGGGAAAAGTCTCAGCTGAATGAATAACCATGTGCATTTGTGAGTATGTGCTAAACAAATAATCTAACAAAGAACAGCTTGTATGCATCTTACATGAAAACTCAGCACATTTACTCACAAAACACAGCATTTCACATTGCAAGTGCAAATTCAGTTAAGGAGATCATTGTGGACCTCTTTAGTGTACCTTTCAGATTAAGACTAAGGTAAGACTTTGTCAAAAAGCACAAAGCTAAAAGACTGCTGCTATGAGAAAAATGGTGCACGGAGTTTATAGATGCAAATTATCAATAAAATTTAGAAGCGCAAAGCTTACCTCTTTTCAACACATGCCATGAATGTAAATTCCTTAAACAATATTTCCTCATAAACTGCTGCAAATCCAAGCACCATACCAATACCCACAAACATTCCAGCAAGCATTAAGCTGTGTCCGTTCTTTGTGGCATAATTGCATCAAAATTCAGTGACATAGTTGCATAATTCTGAGGCATGCGCCTCTGATAACTGAGGACCATTAGTCCTGCTATAATTGCAGAGAGCAGCTCAATATGGATGAGCCGACTTTTACAACCAGCGCTGATGAGAAAAGAGGGTAATGTCCTGTCAATGAGTAACCACATTTGAATAACAGATGGTGCGTAATAGGCGGTCTACTTCCTTACAAGCACCTCTCTCAAAATACAGTTTTTAAAAATGAAATATATCTTGGTTAATTGATGGACATATACTAAATTACTTGCTAAAGTCTTCTTTACGCTCTAAGGTATACTAAAGCAACCAGGGTTGTGACATAGCCATCACAAGACAATGAACAACTGCAAGAAGGATGATGCAACCCTGTTGCAATATCACCTGCTGGTAATCACAGTAATTATCAAACCAACAATCAGAAACCGGCAGGGATTAATGAATAAAATCAGAAAGTGCAGTTTAAATATGCACACGTCTTAATTTCATTTATAAAAACTAACATTAGAAAGTGCCTACCAACAAATGTCAAATTGAGCGAGAAGACACCACTCACCGAGCTGAAGCAATGATAAATTATGTTTACATGCAATTAAAAACCTCAAAGGGAACAGTTAAATCTCACCGTTTGCCCTGACAGGTTTATATTCCATATGAGAGCATCTAGCTTTATTATTAAAATGGCATGTGCAAAAAAGGCTAGCTGACAATATCCACCGCTACCTCATCATGGTTCATTAAATAACACTTAAAATGCCTTAAACATAAGAGCAGAAAACAAGTGCTGAACAAACAGCTATAATAATGATAGATCAATGTGTTTTATGTATTATGTAAAAACTTACGATGTCATGAAGCTCAGGCTAAACCTGCTAGCAAACAATTAGCTTTGCTAGCTGTAAATAAACCCGGGTCCCAATATGGACCCACGCTTTAAGCTTAAAAAAGAAACAAATTGTGACAGTTAACATACCTCAATTAACACAGCTGTCGCTTATAAAGTACCACAGATTGATTCCAACAACGGCGCATAATAGAGTAAAACTACAGGTAGCATGCTTGGTGTTAGCACGTCGTTAGAGTGCGCTCTGAGATGCTCCGGGTTCATGTGTAAGTACCACACTTAAGTTATGAGCTTATTCGAGCCCGAAGACGGCAGCTTTAACGCTACATTCATAGCAACATTGAGTAACCTACATAATAAATAATTCAACAGTTCCGGTACTTTACACTTACACGAAGCTAAGTTTCACAGCTAATGCTAGCAGTGCGCAGCTCAACTTGCCTGGACAAATTTCAGAGTCCCTCCTAATGATGCTGTTGTTGTAGTTGATGTTGTCCTCGTGGTTGAACTGGTAAGCAATCGCTCTATTCCTTCGGTTCCAGATTTTACTAAATGCTAACGCATATGCCTCCCATTAAACGCCAACATATAGACGCACCGTCTCAGCAGTTACTGGCTGTCATATCCCAATGAAACCTCTCCCCTTCGACCTCTCAACTTGCACGCTGTTACAGTGGGGACATCTAGTGGATATGATGGTGACTTTTTAGGCATCCTGTGCAAATTTAGGAACCAATTTCCTGTTTGAGTCTACGTGTCTGTGGCTTCTAGGCTAGATTATTGTAATTTATTATTATAGTGAAACTTGCTTTTATGTATGGGTCAGAGACGGTTGCACTGAAGAGACAGAAAGCAGGGCTGAAGGGAATAAGTACATAAGAGAGACAGATCGGGTTGTAGTCAGAGTTAGAGGGACAAGCTTGAGAAGGAGGTATAGTGGCTATATTGGACAAGGGATACTGACTATGGAGCTTCCAAGGATGAGGGAGCAAAACAGGAAGACCACAGAGAAGATTCATGGATGTAGTGAAGGAGGACAAGCAGAGGGTTGGTGTGGCAGGAGAGGACTCTAGGTATAGGGTGAGATCGAGGCAGATGATCTGCTGTGCTGAACACTAAAGGAAGTAGTCAGAAGAATTCTTATCAGGTGCCCTGATATCTTTGAAGACCTTTCAATTCATCCAAAATGCTGAAGGAATCAAGAGTACTAATATGAACAAAGGAGGCTCATAACTCTCTAATATTCTGTTCATTGACTCCCTGTTAAATCCCCGTCACTTATACAGCGCTTAATTAGGTCCATCATATTTTGAAGACCACGTAGTTCCATACTATCCCAACAGACCACTTTTCCTCACAACTACAAGTTTTAAAAATTAGGATGTGATGGAGAGCTTTCCATTTTGGGTTCAAGTGACACCCTCTCTACTTAGGTGACCACTGAGGATACTCCAGGCATTCAAGTACCACTATTAGATTGAATTAAGATTGTTTCTTCTTACTCTTTGGGCTCATTTGGGCTTTAATCATTGTTAACTATTCCCACCTGTACCTATCTCCAGGTGTCTGCCTTCAGAGGTGGATTACCTCCCTAGGTATGTTTCTGCCAGAGGATTTTTCCAGTAAAATTTGAGTTTTCTGTTTTTAAGTGCTTACTCATGAGGTAGGCTTGGTTTCTCTCCAGACATATTTTACTTGTGTGTTTTTCTTACAATGTAATGTACCCTGAGACAACTGTTGTTGTAAAATGTGTGCATTTAAATAAGAAAAAATGAATTCGATTTTATTATATTAACATTCATTGGCAACACGGCTCCACAAAACTGTTCTTTGAATAATACTTTTATTCATTAACAAGATTCTTTCAAACCACCAGCAATCCTGCATTCTGAGTATTTTGTTGAGTCGTCCACTGAAATCGACCAAATAATGACAACATCACGAGTCAGCATGATAATAACTCTATCCTCTGGAGATTCAGAGGTCTGGAATTGGATCACAATGTCCTTCCATCACAAGGTTTGGGATCCAGACACTGTTTGCTGACAGCAGTGACCAGCCATGGCCAATTCACCAACCACTTTGGCAGCATTTGCTATTTGCGCAACATGAAAACATAACAGTGGTTGTTCTGTTGTCACGTAAAAGAGACTAAATGTGTCTAAGGGTATAACTAGAGAACGGCGCTGGATGTCCCAGGAGCAAAGAAGGAGGCTCCTTTATCGTGGACCTTGTACTGAAAAAGCTTCTTCTGTGTGTGCTGCCCATCGCCTCGTCTCCTCCTCCAACAAACCTCCACCTGGAAAAACAACAGTGCACCTTGTGCTAAATTTGATACTGTTTAAGGACAAGAAATAGACACTAGATGGATTTTGTCAAGTACAGCTGAAATGAGATTAATAAAGTAATCAATCAACAGAAAATTAGTCAGTAATAATGTTCTTAATTACAAAAATGTTAATCACAGTTACCAAAAACAATCATTTTACCCTCTTTCTGTTCAAATATTTGTAACTCTATAACATAGAAAGCTCAAATCGATTTTAACTTGTTAACTGAATCTAAACACCTGGATAATGAGCAGATCTGTGTCTCTGATGTGTTCAGTCTGAATTAGAAAATTTGCATCCACATACACACATACCTGACCGTGTATGTCCCTGCAGTAGCCAGTTGGGAGACCCTGTACATGAAGAGTGAGGCTGCACTGGTGGGTCAGGCCCTTGAGGAGCCACTCTGATCCCTCATCACTTCCATCATCCTCCGCTTCTTCTCCATGACAGCGTACCAGCATCACTATGTTCCCCTGCAGTGCAGACATGTTTATAAGAGTATTTGTAGAATCCACTGAGTTTAATTTGAGGAGAGGACTTTTAATGAAAGGGCATTTTGGTCTAACCTGTAGCTGAGAGCAGACTGTGGCTCTGCAGTAGTGGCTGAAGTCCAGCGCGGCTCCAGCGCTGACCCCCAGACTCAAAAGCACACTGATGTCATCCACCAGCAAAACGGGAGGACCCCACTCTTCCACCCCTTCCTCCCCACCACCATCACTGCTCACACTGGACCGCACAAACTCATACAGCCTCTGCAGGCCAACGGTAGGATCTCTGGGGACAAAGGAGGTGATGCTGTCTGACTAGTCCTAAAGTCAGTTGAGGTTTTTTTTTTTTTTGTTAACATGTTTTTTTTTTTTTTAAATACGTGACAATTATGCAATGAAAGTTATGAGTAAGAACAGTGGTTATACCTGAGGAAGTCCATGGCTTGACTTCCTGTTGTGGTTTCTTGAGGAATCAAAATAGATAGCGACTCCTTAAGGCCCTCTAGGAAAATCAGCTGACCCTTTTCCCTTGCCTGTGTTAAACTTACACCCTGAGAACACACATTTCACGCAAAAAAGAGGTTTTTAAAAAAATATTTGACTCCTGTTGTGTCACTAATAAAGCGTTTTAATTCTGCTGCTGATCCTTGTTTAAATAGATTTAGATCTTGAATAAGATATCATGTCTTTAATGACAGTGGCTCACTGGGGAAGGATGGAAATTGCCCTTCATGCCAGTGGTTTTGATGTTTTCTTGCAGAAAATGTTAGTTAACACTCACCAGTCTTTGACTGATTGCACTGTAGTGACTGAAGGACTGCACCAGACCCAGAAAACACACTTTGCATCGCGCTAAAACCAAAAAAACAAACAAACAAAAAAACAGATTAAACACATTAGCTGTTAAACAGACAGCTAGAAAATGACAATACTGTGGCAAGTTACACCTCACCTCGCAGGTAGAAAGACAGGAAGTGGTG